AAAGGATATCATACCAAATATTATATATTAACCCTTTTTAATAGAACTCGAATCTGGTCAGTTGGTAAAGAAAAAACTAATATTTAAGTAACGCCAAAATTGATGATTTTCCGGTTTATGCTTATTTTTTGTTAGTTATAATTAATATATTATATTGAAATATACCTCATCGGAAAGGTAATCCTTCAAGCTACAATTCAGCATTTTCACCCTTTTAATTTCAACTAATATTACATATTTTATGGGCGTTTGAATTTGAAAAATTAAAAAAAAAAGAATATTAATGTTACTCATTGTATATAAATACTTCTTTTGAATATCTCTATCCTTTACTTCTTTAACTCCAAGCAACAAAATTCAACCTTAATCAGAGCGTAAGCATTAGGAAAAATCAGAGCGCTACAACTGACGCATAATTTGTAATGGGCCGAGAAGTGCTGCCAGATTTTAATGCTGGCTGCTGAAGGACAGCCGACAAAATGGAGATTGGCGAGCACCAACAATGTTCATAATGAGAGCAACATCAATGACCATGACCAAGCGGCAGGCAAGTGGGCGTGGAAAAGCGAACGAAAACTCGGCGGAAGGCGGCACAGGCGAAATGGGAAAAATGCTCGAGTCCAAGCGGCTGACCGAAAATCATAAGCGGCAAAATGTCGGAGGCAGTGCGCGTAATTGGAAATGATGCTTCAGGTTCAAGTTGCGTGAAGCATTATGACACCTACCCCCCCGCACCCTGTCAGACTTTGCCCCCTGCTCGCCGCATCTTCCACTCACAAACAGAAAAACTGATTGCTTTTGTTGTTGTAGCCTAACTGACAAACGCGCTGGCAGGCACGAGGATGACGCTGATGATGGTTGACGGCTGTGATAACGCGTAGCCGCTAAATGAATTGAATGCGATGCCTTTTAGCAGAGATTAAACAGCAAGAGCAACAGCAACCAGGCATTAGCATCAGCACCAGCGCCAGCATCAGCATCAGTTTGCTTGCAAGCTATATCCATATTGAACGAATACTTATGCAATGCACTGTGCTACAAGCAAGCGAAATGTTTGCTATTGCTCAACACTGTTTATTTTGGGGGATAATCAAGGCTTGAAAGAACTGAAGCCGGTAAAGTAAGCAAGACTTGGTTCGAAAACAGGAATAACTTGATCCTGAACCGCTTTGATTGGTTCGAAAATCAAATAAAATATTTAAATATTTGACCATAGATCAAGC